GGTACCCATCCTTTCTATCACCACAGACCAGTCAAAGCTTGACAGTGTGGTTCTTGGGGTTTCTAGGCGACCATCAACAGTTTTCTCAGAAGATGACAAGCTGACAAACCATTGCTGCAACTCTGATACAAATTACAAAGCCTTGCAGTGTATGGGTGCTCTGTGTTTGTCTGCGATAGTTAGTCTACTGAAATGTGTATATATCATACAAGCTTAAGCTGAATGGTCAGTTCTAGTCACATGACTCGCAGTGTGCTCATGGCATTTATTTAACTGGGTGCACCTGGAAGACGCAAGTGTGTCATGGAAATAACAAACTTGCGCGAACTCTAGAAAAGATGCTATATGCGGATGACCTTTAAAAGGCAACCATCATTTGCAATCTCCAGCAGGTGATCTTCTTACAAAGACATGCTAATTCACCTGATTTGTTGATGGATGCGTTGAGGATCCTTTCCTTGGCAGTTCACTGGTCCTTCACTGGGCCTTTTGCCCTTAGTAAAGAAACTTTCCAAAGATGTCTGTTTCCTACTCTTTTTGCTGCTTGTGGGTTAAGATTGGTGACCAAAATGTAATTTGGTCCTATTTCAAAATAAAAGACTTTGTTTTTTAAATTAAAGCCCATTCAGACTCAGATAATAAATAAAACAGAAATAATGATTTCCAAGAACCGTTACCGTTCTGCAGCTGGTCTGAGGACCACTGATGTAGTGTATAAGTTTAGTGTCCTCCCAAATAAAACACTAATGTTTTTTACTAAGTGGAATTTCCAACCGCTCCCCAGTTGACATTTAATAGTTGCTAAATTAGTGAAACAAATGACCAACCTACTAAATAGTACACTCTAAAAATATGTTTGTTGTTTGAGAAACATGCTAAGTGAACATTCTTGTTTATCTGAAAAACAATGCTGAAGTCAGATATTCTGCTTTGAAAATGTGAGTTACGTGCCAGAATGCTGTCTTTGTTTTGGTCATTTAACCCAATTATATTTCAGCTCCTCGGGTTGCTTTGCTGGAAAACAGCGTATTTCATTTATTAAGTCATGAATGCTCGTAAGATTTGCAGTAATAATCAATTTGGCTGTTTGCCCAAGATGAAACATGACATACATTTAAATACAGCTTTTAGAAGCCCAGAATAGCACACTTACTCACTCCAATGAAATGGTAAGGTTTGTAATCAAATTATTGCACATTAAACCTCTTTAACGTTATTAAATATACATGCTGAATCACTGATATTTGTTGGCTTGCACTAAGTCTCAGTTCTTTAATTTATTTTCAAGATCTGAGGTAAACTATCTGCTGCTGCTTTCAGTAGTATGGCAATAATGTCTTGTAAAATGGCATTCCAACTCACATTATTTGCATTTAACACTATAAAAAGCACATGAGGTGTACCTAAGATGGTCTTTGTCACTTTATCCTGATGTTCAGCTTCAAGGAATAGAAGCTGTTTATAATATATTAATTTGAGGAGTTGGTTGAACAAAAACTCCTCTTAATATGGAAAACATCCTTCTATCGTGTTGCTTTTATTTAGAACATGACCTAAATCAGCCTTTAGGCTCGATAGTCAGACTCCTGTTGATGTTGTCAATCTGGCAACCTGTGCTACTGTTTTGAATCAGGCATGCAATACCTAGGTCAACCACTGGGTGTCAAACTTACATACTGCAACTTTAAATATAATGCATCAATGCTTTAACTTTACATCAATAAACACAATGAGATTTAAGATTTACTTTATTAAGTAGAGGTCATTTGATCTGCCTTCTTTTACACTTCAGTACTGTATAATATTATTAATATTTTTTAAGTATTTTTTTTAATTACTGTACCAATAAAAATTAATATGGTTTTTAAAATTGAGCAGTACTGTCAGTCTTTGCATGTCATGCATGCATTCAGATGTTTAGTTGGTAGTTACAAGTAGCTGATCTGGTTCATGTTGTACTTCTGTTCTCTGAAAAGAACCAAATGCTCAGAAAGATCCACAGTTTTCTCAAATGTCACAATTTATAGTCACAGGATGAGTTTGGATCGGTGTGCTAAGTCAAGCCTGCAGAGAGTGCAGATTCAGACTGTAAATATGGCCTGAGTTGCTACATTTGCATGTTAACGGCACACGCTGCTCTCTTGGCCCGACTGCATGTTTGGATTGGCAGGTCATCAGTCACTTTGACTGTCACTCACTTTTAATCATGAAAGATACCCTTGAGGAGAGAGAGAGAGAGAGAGAGAGAGAGAGAGAGAGAGAGAGAGACTGACTGTGTGTGTGTGTGTGTGTGTGTGTGTGTGTTATGAATCAATGGAGCTTGCACAGTGTTGGAGGCTATTTGTTGTCATGTGCCATAGTGTCTAAAAGTCTGAGACCCCTAGTCAAAATGCTTGTTTTTTTAATTTACGTTAATGTATAGTTCACCCAGAAATAAAAACTCTGTCTTCGTTGACTCATTTTTCTGTTAAACACAAAATAAGATATTTTGAAGAATGTTGGAAACTGGTAACCATTAGCTGGTTCCATCCACCTATTTTTATATTTTATATTTTATTATCAGTTGAAGTAAACACCAAGAAAATGTATACGCATAACTTGTAGGATAAGCTTTTTATTCGATAAGAGAAGATGTGTATAAACTTAGGGTGCTTTCACACCTGTGAATCAATTCAGTTGTTCCGAAACAGAGATTACAATTGTTACATTGTTGCTCTTTGCTCTTGGAGCGGTTCGCTTTCACACTGCAAAGTTTCTAATCGGACCAAAAGAGCTAAAACAAGTCACGTGCGAGTAAACTCTCCTTACATTGGTCAGAGTGTCAGGGTTTATTTTGCAGCTGTCAGGAGAGGTGGTGGTTTGGTGGTGATTGACAGAGTGTGCGCGCGACGTATCTGAGGAGAGATGCTCCATTTGCTGGCATCTGGAGACTCGCGAAACTTCCCGCCATACTCATAATTCTCTCTTTATTTAGCTCTAAGCCTATTACATATCCATAAAACACTGTGATATAACTGCGCTCGGATCGCTTTCTCACTGCAATCGAACCGCTCCAGGGTTCGTTTCAATCGAGCTGAGACCACCTCATTCAAGCGATCTCGGAGCGATTACTTTGGCGCGGAACAGAGCGCGATTGCCCTGTTCACATATGCCAAACGAACCGCGCTAACTGGGAAAACGAGACATGTTCCGAAACAAAAGTGTAGGTGTGAAAGCACCCTTAGATGGAAACACTTTTACTGAAAAAAATGCCAGTATGTGAATTAAAGTCTTGTGATTTTGTTATAAGAGAGTCCTGTGTGGAGTTTGCATGTTTTCCCTGTTCGCGTGGGTTTCTTCTGGGTGCTCCCGTTACCCCCACAGTCCAAAGACATGTGCTATAGGTGAACTGATTAAGCTAAATTGGCCGTAGTGCAAGTGTGTCAATTTAATGGTGTATGGATGTTCCCCAGTGTTGGGTTGCAGCTGGTAGGGCATCTTGTGTGTATATATGCTGTGTTTATATGCTGGATAAGTTGGTAGTTCATTCTGCTGTGGCGACTCCTGATTAATAAAGGGACTAAGCTGAAAAGATAATTATTGAATGAACTATATATACACACACACACACACACACACACACACACACACACACAGTTGGTTTGTTCTGTAGACTATTGAAAAAAATGTAGCCTAAAGGGGCTAATAAAATGGTGTTTAAAAAATGTAAAACTGCTTTTCTAGTAAACACAAACAAACAAACAAACAAATAATATATATATATATATATATATATATATATATATTACATATATATATTACATATATATATATATATATATATATATATATATATATATATATTACTTGTTTGTTTATATGTATTTTATTTCGTCTAGAATAAAAGTATATTTTTTTTAAGCAGTCACTTTAAGCTGTTTAGAAGGGTCTTTAAATATCGAGTCAAATATTATTTAATGCCATCATGACAAAGACAAAAGAAATTATTTATTAGAAATGAGTTATTAAAACTATTTTGTTTAGAAATGCGTTAAAATCTTTGGGGAAATTGAAATTGGGGAAAAAATAAACATGGGGGCTAATAATTCAGGGTGGCTAATAATTCTGACTTCAATTGTGTGTTTGTGTGTGTGTGTGTGTGTGTGTGTGTGTGTGTGTGTGTGTGTGTGTGTGTGTGTGTGTGTGTGTGTGTGTCTTAGTTCATGTGTATATGTATCAGTTTGCAAATAAATATAAATAAGGTAATTAGGTGATCAGTATTGGACCATAACATGACAAGAAATATACATTTTTTTCTATCACATGGAATTGATAAAACAATATAATTGGTGTAAACATACAACAATTTTCTTGTACCTCAGCAGAAGCAAGAACATCTGTAAAAAATCTTCTGAATTTCTATATTCTTAAACATTGATTTCCTAGTTTAAATTCCAAACTTGGATGTTCAGTTCATTCTGACAGCCCATATTTTATTCACTTAGCCACACAAAGTATGATTCCACACATTATTATACTTGTATAAAAAAAAAACTATCAAATTTCAGTGTCATACAGTCAGAAACACAATTGCAATTTATTATATAATCATTTTTATTGGCAGATCCCTAATTGATATTTTTGTAATTATGTCTCTGGCTGCACATACTGTACTGTAAACTGTCTCTTCTCAGATAATGAATATCTGAATCTGCGTTCAGCTGTGTATGTCTTTCAGATACAGCCTGCATCTCTCTCTCTCTCTCTCTCTCTCTCTCTCAAAAAACGCCCCCATTCCGAATGTTATTATGCCACCCGAGTTTAGGAAGTTGCCCATGTTTGGACCAGGATGGAAGCGATGTCACTTGTGGTTTCCTCTCAGAGGATCTGATCACATTTGAGAGACCAGAAAAAAAGCAAAATCAAGAATAAGACAGGTGAGCATAAAATTATAGTGCTGTCCAACACAGAGAGAAAAAGATGAGAACAGAGAAACCAAATCAAATTAAACCAGAAACTATGATCCTCTTCACCATTCCTAGACTCCATCTCCAGGTTTTCAGTGTGTCTGTGTTTCAGTAGATCAGTCAGAGCGTGTGTGGAGCTCTTGCGTGTATGTGTGTGTGTGTGTGTGTGCGCGTGTGTGTTTCTCCTGCGCTGTGCTGCAGTAAAGAGCCCTTCGCTCAGCCAACTGCTACTACTCTGTGGAGGGCATCGCATCCTCCCTGCCTTTTTTTCTGTTATTTTCCTTTTCTTGTGCTTTTTTCAAACCATGCTTGGAGTGCCTGAATGAAAGCGTGCGGATTGAGGGGGAAAGGACGAGATTATGTGTGTGACAGAAGAGCCAGGCGTACTGCAGTGAGTCAAACAGAAAGAGTGAGAGCTCTCCACACCCATGACCGTGTGCCTGTCTGAGATCCACTTGAACACAGCCAAACGGACTCGTTCGTCACCTGACAGGTAGGCAGACGTGGGTCGCTTCATCTGATCTCACGTTCACACATCAGGAGCTCGGAAACGCATGCTCGTGCTTAGAAGAGACTCTGAACAGGTTCAGGACTTGTAGGGATGCTTGCTTGGGACACTAAAATGGGACTTTTAGCATGAATGCCAGTTATATGACAATAGATGCTGCTGTTAGCGTTCCTATCACATCTTAAATGCTCAGAGTGTTTCATACCTGCACTTTCTGTCAGACTTGAACAGGAAATTCTGCTGCTTCTAGACTTGTGAGTCTCTTTTGTGGCTTTTTTCTGTGATTTTCTTTTTTTATGTAGGCAGTTTTTGCTTGCGAAAGAGGGGCGTCCTCCACAGGGTCACATATAACAGACTCCAAGCCGTGGGTGAGGAGTTTATTCATACAAACTGACTGTTAGACTCCATGCGTATGTATATGTGTATGTGGGTGAATGGCTGCTTGGAAACAGCTTTTTTGTGTGTGTATGAAATGAGAGGGATGTTTCATAAGTCAGTCCATTTCTCTAGATGCATATGAAGTGGTTCTGTGATAACAAGTAGAGATGAAGCCCACTCAAAAAAGACCTTTGTTGTATGCGTGTGTGTGTGTCTGTGTGTGTATGTGTGCGTGTCTGTGCTCCTGGCTATTGCCTTCAGTGGATTTACTGCACTTTCTGTCACTGGCAGACCGTATATATATATCAGCGGAGAGACAGAGAGAGAATGAAAGAGGAAGCACTGCAGGTCTAAACACTTGCTCCTGCAGTGCATTTCCCCCTCCTCTCCTCTCTCTTTAGGTGTCACGCATACACACACACACACACACACATATATATATGCACGCTCTGTAGTTTCGGTAGTTCTGTCAGTCAGGCTGAGATGAGAGGACTGGGGTATTCAGACTCGGTGTGAGTTGTCATACATTTGATCAAGTGGCAAAGACAGATCAATGTCTTCATCACTGGGTTGCTCTAAACTGCAGTGTGTGTTTGTAGGGATATGTACTGTAGATTATTAATGTGTTCTTTTAAAGTATGGTATGGCCAGTGTAATAAAAGTCTTTAAATCAAGGTCAGTTTAAATAATTTCAAATTTTATTTGATGTTAAGTCAATTATTTGGCCTCCACTTGGTATACAGTGCATCAGGAAAGTATTCATAGCGCTTCACTTTTTCCAAATTTTTTTATGTTATTTTTTATATGCTAATGGATTCAATTCATTTATTTCCTCAAAATTCTACACACAATACCCCACAATGACAATGTGAAAGTTTTTATTTTTTAAATTGTTGCAAATTTATTAAGATGAAAAAACCCTGAAAAATAACTTGCTTTGGTGGCAATTACAGCTTCAAGTCTTTTTGAATATGATGCCACAAGCTTGGCACACCTGTCTTTGGCAATGTTTGCCCATTCCTCTTTGCAGTACCTCTTAAGCTCTATCAGATTAGATGGGAAGTGATGGTGTACAGCCATTTTCAAATCTTGCAGAGATGTTCAATAAGATTTTGGTCTGGGAACTGGTTGGGCCACTCAAGGACATTCAGCAAGTTGTTGTGAAGCCACTCTATTGAAATTTTGGCAGTGTGCTTTGGGTCATTGTCCTGCTGGAAGATGAACCGTCGCCCCAGGCTTAAGTCAAAAGTATTCTGAAGCAGGTTTTTATTCAGGATTTCTCTGTACATTGCTGCATTTATCTTTCCCTCTATCCTGAATAGTCTTCCAGTTCCTGCTGCTCAAAAACATCCCCACAGCATGATGCTGCCACCACCATGCTTCACTGTAGGTGTTAGCCTGGTGATGAGCGGTGCCTGGTTTTCTCCAAAGAGTTACATTTTAGTCTCATCAGACCAGAGAATTTAGTTTCTTATGGTCCAAGAGTCCTTCAGATGCCTTTTGGCAAATTCCAGGTGGGCAGTGCCTTCCGACTGGTCACTCTACCATACAGGCCTGATTGGTGGATTGTTGCACAGATGGTTGTCCTTCTGTAAGGTTCTCCTCTCTCCACAGAAGAACGCTGGAGCTCAGACAGAGAGACCATCGGGTTATTAATCATCTCCCTGGCTAAGGCTCCTCTCTCCCGATCACTCAGCTTCGATGGCCGGCCAGCTATAGGAAGAGTCCTGGTGGTTCCAAGCATCTTTCACTTATGTATAATGGAGACCACTTTGCTCATTGGGACTTTCAGAGCAGCAAAAATGATTCTGTAACTTTCCCCAGCCTTGTGCCTCGAGACAATCCTGTCTCGGAGGTCTACAGACATTTCCTTTGTCTTCATGCTTGGTTTGTGCTTTGACATGCACTGTCATGTACATTTTTCAGGTTTTTTTTTATTTCAATTTTTATTTTATTTTATTTTAAATATTTTTTCGCATTGCCATTATGGGGTATTGTGTGTAGAATTTGAGGAAATAAATACATAATAAATTAAATACATTTTGGACTAAGGCTGTAACAAAGAAAATTGGAAAAAGTGAAGCACTGTGAATACTTTCCTGATGCATTGTATTTGCACTGTTATGTTTTTGCTGTCTCCTAAAATGTAATTTATTAAGGATAAAAATGCTTAGCATCAGACATGTTTAGAAGGTCTCTGATGTCCGGGTCAAAAATTATTGCAACATGAATGTCATTCAAATCTAAGACTTCAGTTTTCATCTCTGCAAAGCATTAACTAATAGATGTCAATTAAGAACAGTCATTATAGTATTACAGTATATAATTTAATATTCTTGAATTACAAGTGCAATTTTCTTTCATCAATTTTCTTTCTTTCCTATTTCCGCCCTTTTTTAAAGACAGCATTATTTTGTCTTACAGAAATTAATGTTTTTTACTGACAACAAGATTTTTTGACATTTATTACGTGTATATTTGCAATTAAACATTTGCAGTGCTTTCCCCTAACATCACACATACAGGTCTTTATCACACATGCATAGACAAAAATATTATAATACATTACACACTTTATATTCTGTTCTCATTTCCAGCCCTAAGCAAAACCTCAAGCCATTTTTCTTGTGGGGAACAAAAAATTGCATTTTACTGGCAATTTACTGGCATTTCTATACTTGTAGGGGCATTTTAAAAAAAAAAAAGCACAAAACAAATTCTTTTATTTACAACTTATGTGTTTGAGTAAAATTATTTGAGTATTTTTAGTTTTATTCGAGTAATGTTAATTTATAAATAAATTTGCAATTGTTCAAAGAATATAACATTAGACATTGCAATGTCAGTGTTTTACCTTCAGACGGAAAAGAAATCAATATTTGGTGGAAAAACCCTAATTTACAGTCACAACAAATAAAAACAAATGACCATTCTTGCACAAACATGCAATAAATTCATAGACCTTTACAGAATAAAACTGAGAATTTTCAAGTGATCTCTTATTTAGTTTGCCAAATGCATAAATGCTGGCAACATCCATGCTTATTCAGTATTCCATGGCCTTTTTTGTAAACAATTCAACATACACACTCCCAAAGAGTGTATATTTCTTTGCACATCCCAGTGTCCTTAGCGGATCACTGTTAGTGGATGCATGTCCCTCTCGCTCCTCGTAATGTTGTGTAAAACATGGGCTGTCCTATTACAGCAGTGCAGAGTCTTTCTGAGGATGATTAAAAAAAGTAAATGTTCATGCAATTTGTAGGTGGAGCGAGTGACTGAATGCAAATCACTTCTTTATGGCATTTTATTCATGTTTACATAAAAAGAAAATGATGAATGAACGCAAAGCAAAGCAGTGACGCACCAGGTTACAGTGAGATCAGTGTAATAATGTGCCTTTAGGGTGAATAGTGTGTAAACACTGTCTGACATATGACGTGCGCTTGAGTCACTGCATCAGGACTATCAGCAGCAGGCATGACCCGGCATCGACTAGAGAGTGATGGGAAACTAAAATCTGTGTGGTTGAGACACATTCAGCACATCGCAACATCAAGTACGGGTGTTTGGTACACTACTTAGTTTTTCTCTGGTCATTTTTCTCCACTTCACCTACAACGTAAGTGTAAATGTTACCCTTAATCTTTCTTTATGGGTTGTACATTAATCAATCAAGTGATCAGGACTAAAGTATGGATATAATTAAGTGGATTGTTCGAATCATACTTTTTTGTCTTGTGTTTTGTGTTTTGTCTTATAATTTGCATAGCCTTTTTATGTAGAATCCTTAAAGAAGTTTGAAGTTTCAATTTCAAGTATTCTTTTTTTTTATTAGTCAGTTTTGGATAATTTGCCTGTTTTCAGTTTGACATTATTGCGATTTGGTAATCAAATTAAACTCCTTTATACTGTAGATAATCTTTAAAGATACAAATAGTAACTTTAAAGATACAAAAAAAAAAAACTCAAAATGAAAATTAATTTGAAGTTCATTATATTGTTGAGATGTCTAAATCTACTTGTAATATTTTACTGTAGTTTAGTACGTTATTGTTTGTATTCCTTAATATTAAATAAGCTGGGTTATGCTGGCATTTAGACTACACAATGTTTTAAACTGTTGTCATGTCGTGAACAAGAAACATTCCAGACTGCATGTTGCTTTCTTCCTAATCATCATTTCATCTTTAGGCATTAATATGCATGATGTCATCAAGAAGGTCTTCAATAAATGAGTGCATGCGCACAATCGCTGCCCTAGCAGTTTTGTACTGACTGTCTTGACAGAAAAGTCATCAAAAAAAAACAAAAAAAAACAAAACAAGAAGTTGAATAATTCCACCTATAGCTATAGAAATGGCCTTTTTTGATCTGTATCTTAAATATTAATTATTTCAAAATAGACAATATAAATATACATTTGACCACCCCTGCATTAGTTCATACCATTGTGGATGCATAATCATGCCAATCAGTCTATGCAAGACAGTATTCATTCATCAGTCTGAAACTGGGAGATCTAGATCTAGAGCAAAACTTAAATATGTTTTAATAATAAATTAGATGTAATTTAAATAAATACTGAAGAATGGATACACAAACTA